GCTGAGTAGAAACCCAAAGGTATTATGAATGGCCAGAACTAAGCGTGGAAACCCAAATATATTGTAAATGGCCAGTGCTGAGTGGAAAACCAAAGGTATTATGAATGGCCATAGCTAAGAGTGAAAAACCAAATATATTGTAAATGGCCAGAGCTAAGAGTGGAAACCGAAAGGTATTATGAAAGGCCATAGCTAAGAGTGGAAAACCAAAGATATTGTAAATGGCCAGAGCTGAGTGAGTGGAAAACCAAAGGTATTATGAATGGCCAGAACTAAGAGTGGAAAACCAAAGGTATTATGAATGGCCAGGACTAAGCGTGGAAACCCAAAGATATTGTAAATGGCCAGTGCCAAGTTGAAAAACCAAAGGTATTATAAATGGCCATAGTTAAGCATGGAAAACCAAAGGTATCATGAGTGGCCAGAGCTAAGAGTGGAAAACCTAAGGTATTATGAATGGTCATAGCTAAGAGTGGAAAACCAAAGATATTGTAAATGGCCAGAGCTGAGTGGAAAACCAAAGGTATTATGAAAGGCCAGAGCTAACAATGGAAACCCAAATATATTGTAAATGGCCAGAGCTAACTAGAAAACCAAAAGTATTATGAATGGCCAGAGCTAACTAGAAAACCAAAAGTATTATGAATGGCCAGAGCTAAGAATCTAAGGTATTTAGACAGTCCAATAACTCAGTATAATAACGAGGGCACATACGTTATGCAATCGTGCAGCATATATAGCGAGCAGCTGGTCAATTTTGTGGAATTTGAGTCGGGTTGTATTTTGATTGAATACACGCCGCTCACGGAAGCGTGCAAAGTAGAGGTTTATTCAGATAATTAGGATAGTATCGGTATATTTTGAAAACGTTTAGTAGATAGCAAGCAGTATTTATCTTATTGCCCTTTGTATGGTCGTTCGTATGTAGCAATCAAAGAATTGCTTAATTATTAAATCGCCACTAAAATGGTGATTTAGAGGGTTTATGCGTGGCATGCACCATTTATTACTTTTACCATGGATGCCTAGCTGGAAAATTCATATTTGAGTGGTTTGATGACATGTCTGCGGGCATGTCATTGTTTTTACAGGTATCCCCATACGCCATGTTAACACGTCTAATATCTTTTTGATTTGGTGGGATGTTCTACTATGTTATCATTCCTGAACATTCTGTATTGTGCTATACCTAGGTGATAGGTATTTGTTCTGTATTACTTACGAAGTCACTAGTTATATAGGTACATACACAGTGACAGTTGCAAGTTTGCAAGTAAAACAGTTGAAGATGGCAAGCTAGGCTGTTATTGCAGCTTATTTATCAATTGCATATTTGGTTTGTATGTAACAGCATAATGCATCAGTCTGGCAGTAGTCCTGTAGCTTTTTGTAATGGTTTAAATGTTTTATGTTAGGGTAAACCATCAGGCAATCCTGTCCAAAAACAGTTGTTCTAGATCCAGACCCATTTACCTGTTTTTTCAGGCTGGCTCTCTTTCTCCTGCTATTCTTCTTTTCTTTGACTTGCTATTTCTCACTTACATTATTTACATGATACGTTTGCTGTGCCATCTACGTTTTTAGTATAAAAAAGTAATGCAGATACGAAAAGCTACAAATACGAAAAGTAATTTAACCTTAAAGACAGAGGAATAGCATTGTTTTTGTACTCCTACAGGAACATGTAACTGAAAAACATTTTTGCTTCTATGGTATATACGGTCACTAATATGGCAGATGCCTGTTTTTAAGCTGGGCATAATCCATTTCGCAGGATATTGAGATAGCTCTCATCATTTTAAAACTGTCTCAAAAAACGTTTTAGCGTGTACGGATTTCATCAGTTGTCATGTAGTGTAACCCATTTCCTGGCCACCATTATCAGATCTGTACTGTCCCATGCCATCACTCACTCACATTTGCATGTTACTGTCATCAGTATTGCTACTCGGTGTCATTGTAGCTTCTTCACTCAATCCTCTACAAGGATGTGTACCCGAGAGATTAGGGTAACTGCTATAGTTTATTGTTCACACGTAGTATTTTTGTACGCATATTTATATTCCCTTATAGTACCTAGCCCAACATAAACAAGAATTCTCGTACGATAATCAGTATCTATGTTTACAATATTATTTTTGGTAACCATTTTCTATAATTAGTATTGTTGCTAAATACACTGGCCAGCAAAGTTATTATGAAGACACATCTAGTCGATAGTTCAACCTGTTAAAAAGTTAGGGAAACCTATGCAAGGTATACACCTCCGTATACATATACACTGTATACGTATTACACCTGAGATCTTTTAGTTTTATTGCATATTATATTGCATTATTACATAGCAAGTATTTAATGGCAAACATGCATTCATAGGACATGCTTAAAAATCCATATGACATGCCAAAGATACTTGGTTGATGAATATTTGATGCAGTGCAGTGCTGCCAGGTTTCTGGTGCTGATGCTATGATATGTCACAATTTATATATTTTCCATTGCTGCTTTAATTGCAATAAATTCAAAAGTTGTTTATATGCTCACATTATAAATTGCATTTCTGTTTTACTGTTAGCAGTTGTCTTATTTTCCACAACTATTGTGATTGCATTAAAAATGTTTCATTATAAGGTAAAGTATTAATTCTGTGATGCATGCGAGCATGTACATGTATTGTTAGCGAGCAAACGCAACTTTATCCATTTACTGCACAGACATGCCTGTGGGTGGGTGTAAAGACATCTGCCTATAACCTAGCTCTAAGAAACGGTCTACAGACATTAGTCACACACAGCCGTCGGGTTACCTATATTAACCATAGCCAAGTGCTGTTGGTTTTCATCGCAAACTAGTGGCCGTGCCAATTAAATAATTGCCCAAATCTGTTTTGCTTGTCTGTGATTGTTACTCAAACTGATTGCACAAATCATGGATTCTTATTATATGGATTATTCATAGATGTTTAGTAATAATGTACGATTTTTTTAATTTTTGATAGAAAAATAAGTGAAACTACAATAACCATATAACATTGTTTTACCAATAAACCATGATTATGCTGTGATTTGTCTTCACACGTAGATATAAATGTACAATTCGCAGAAAAATAATCCCACCAGTCACGTTCTCAGTTTTCCCTCCTGGATCACATCATACTATACATTATTTAAATGGAACTATCACAACATCATCAATATAATACTGTTATTTGCCCATTTCTAACATGGAAGACTTTTTGAGCAACTAACTTACTATCACGTTTTGTTGTTGGATGCCTCTTGGAGATATGCTAATAACCTATATAACCTTCACAGCATAGTGTGTAACCTTATATAATTTGCAACACATACAGCATAATAAGAAAAAGAAACATTCTGTTAGAATGACCAAATGCTCAAGCAAGTTCTGCTACCTCATTCTACCCTAATTAAAATGTCACTGGCTTCAAACATTAAAATAATACAACCAGTCACTTTTGACAGTATACTTCAGATAAAACTATCACGCAACTATGGAGATTTAAAACACTATCAAGTGTTAGCATCACATGATTATTATTCAATAGATTGCAGTGCCAGCACTTGAGATTAACATGTAAAATAACCAATCGTAAACCATATGTCTGGTAACATAATTAATGGTATAGTAACTTTGCTTCGAAATTGGTAAAATTTGTCTAGAAAACCCGGCATTACAAGCCTTTATTGAAATAAATGGTACTGGGCATGTTATCGTGATACTTATCTTGTAGATCACTATACTTCTTTGGCTCCCACTTCTTTAGTGTCTCAGTGCTAATTGAGCTGTAAACATAAATAATTTATTAACATCATTAAGGCAAGCCGAACGATGCAGGGTGTGTGTCGTGGCTGCAAGTTTACAAGAAATCATCGCACTATCTAGAATGTGGAAGAATAGTTATATTAACTGTATGTTGAAATAAGAAGAATACTTAACAGCCACTGAAACACAGAGTTAGACCACACAAGTGAGGGGTGGCTTAATGCAGGATAAGAGGGAAGACTAATGTTTTAGCAAGAGGTATTATGCTATAACTTGGGCTGAGAGGGTCTATGTCCCCCAGGGTACTGCCGGAACGTACCCTGGGTACAGTCTGGTATACCGGAACGTACCCTGGTACTATCTAATATGCCGGACCGTACCTCGCCTACTCCACTAACGAGTCTAGGGAGTCGCCTATGCCTACTCCCTAACCCTAACCATATCAGATAGTTGCCAGGGTACGTTCCGGCAGTACCCTGGGGGACATAGACCCTATGAGCATAACTTGGAGCACATGAAACATAGTCACGTGTTTAAAAATGGTTTTTGGACGTGAGCACGCTTCAATGCATTTTTCACAGCATTGAGTCGTGGTTTAACATTTCTATAATTCAATGCTTTCCCTTACATCAATGCACACAAAACTGATATCCTAATACACAACAGAGTATATAATAAAGCTCAATAATACTTACTTCCACTGTGGAAATAGAGAACAAGCCGTTGGTACCATGACAACCAAACTGCAAACCAAGCAAAAAAAATGTTGTAGCACAACAACACGAAACACGACGAAATGTCGTATCATAGATGGTTAATGTAGTAATATAATAATCAGCTGATTACATGGGCTCCAGCACAGCACCAGTATAAGAGGATATAGTAAGTTATAAACTAATGTGCTAAGGATAATATTAAACTATTGTGCTAATTTAAATACTACACGCTAAAAGAAAATTTTTGCAACGCCGCATTAGGGCAATCGAATTTGGCAAAAAATGCATTCAACAAAACCGACCATATTAATTCAGCATTATTAATACTACCACTCCACAATGTTGTGCAGCGTAGCACAGAACTTTGACCCACAAAACGCTTAGTCGGAGACACTGTCTCGAGTAAGCATGCACTGTTACGCGAGTTACTCACATGCATCCCACCATCATGACCTGGATGGGTGCATGAAGCAGCTTTATGCGCTGCATCCAGCGCGTCTTTTCCAGTCGCTCCATCATTATTGGGCACAGGACTAAAAACACATGTATACAATAGGGATTTATTATACCAGGTACACCCATCACACACACGAAAACACAACCTCTTGTTACATATAATGAGAAGACTTATCACTGGTTAGTTATATATATGAGTACGTATTACGTTAGTAAATGGAAATTTTTTGGCCTACCTACCATACCATCCCAGCTTTTAAATGGTGGACCAGTTTACTACAAATAAGAAATCAATTAGGATTAACCTAACATAGGTGAGTTTTTGATGCCTGTACAGTACCAGGTCAGAGACAATTGCCGTCTTTGTGCAAATCTCGTCTGCATCATCACCTACAGACATGGTGTGAGGGAGAAACTTACGCATGCCAGGAGCAGCCATGAAAATACGCGACGCCAACACTAGAGTTATCCCTTTTGCGGCTGCCACCTGAACATAAGAAAAGCAAATATATCACCACCTACATCAAGAGCTCACGCGACAACACGACGCAATTTCTTGTCGCTGTGAGTGTGTGCAGTAAGGATTTGTACATTCATTGGCAGGAACACAGATATCTGTTCTGGGATTTTCATTATTAGTGACGAATGTGATAACGAATAATTTCTCGGCTGACCGCAAATGAATTATTAAAAGCAAACAGGCTGCTACAGTTATCACAGAAGCAAACTAAAGAGCAGTTGACAATTCACCTGCGATTGTACAGCCTTGTTTCGATTTTCATCTGCACACATGATGCCATCTTCAATTTCACTGTCAGAGAAGAAAGTAACAAGGCCTTACAGTATTAGGCTTGGCCAATCTTTACTTGACATAAAATGTTAATTTAGTTTTTTCACTCCATATTTTGCACAACATGAATCCATAGTAGTCAGCAATATTCCACAACAATACTCACCTAAGCTGGGTTTACATTGTCGAGTTTTAGTTAATAAGTTGAATGCATTTAGCAAATTGATAAACTTTTTGGCTAAAAATTGATAGTGTAAACATAAAGATTTAGTGATTAACTACTCGCTGTTAACTAGTGGATGGAATTGAACGTCTTCTAATTTCCCAACATTTTGACAGTAAGATGATTAACTTTTAATCGTTAAACCAATCACAATTAATCTCGCAAACATGTGTCTCCCATATGGAGTTTATACATGAGCTGCCAAAGTTCTAACTCTGATTTAGTACTCCCCACTATTATAAAAAGTGTTTATCTTCGACAATACTTACCTCTGCCTCATTAAAGGTATGTTGACACAGTTAGCAGCTGCCACAGCAGCAAATGGTACAAATCGCTGCATTAGGGGTGATGCCCTCTGAAACCATCACCATACCATGGCATCAAATCACTGAATGTGGTTTCACAATGTTTTGGAACACACACACAAGCGCGTGCACGCACACACATGCATGCTCATGCACGCACACACACACAAGCACACACTGATGCACACACACGCACGCACGCACCCACGCACACACACGCACGCACGCGCACACACACACACACACACAAGCGTGTGCACGCACATTCACACACACGCACACATGCACGCATGCTCACGCACGCACGCTCGCACACACACACACACACACAAGCACACACTGATGCACACACACACACACGCACACACGCACGCACGTACGCACACACACATGCACACACATGCACATATATATGTAGTGGACTCATGCTCATGAAGCTCAAATAAATTATTTCTGGATGTATAAGCTCTACCTTGGCTAAAACATTCTTTAGTCCGATAGCGGTCAAGACTGCGCTGGTGGTCGCGGTCACGTAAGCAATTGCTATTCGCCTGTACAGTAATAGGTAACACTAATAAGTAATAATTATAAAAATAACTAATAATAAGTAATAAGTAACAGTAGTACGTACTACTACTGTGCATGGCTGCAACCAATCGGTTGTAAGCAGACTGGCTAGTAATGGCATTTTACTCCATCTATAACTATCATCACCCTCATTACCCTCTTCCCCAGAAGCTTTGGCCTACACATTCTCTAATTGGATCGCTCTGCGCACTATATATTACATTGTCAGAGTTACAGAGTTTTAATAACAATAGATTACGAAGTGACTAAATGTGCGATTACTTTTAGCCATGATAAAGCTATATAGTAGACAATAACAGCACGGACACTTACTTAGGAGTCATGTCAGATTCGGCATTTCTGTTTGTGTAATTCACAAGTGCGTTGAAGGACTGGTTGATCCACTGCCAAAATATGACAGCTGTGTTTGTCCTGCAAATACAGTAACCATGGTAACCAATTTATAACAAAATAAGACAGCTGGGCACAGTGCAAAATGTCAAGAGTGGATGAGATCTCTGCTTTGTACAATGTGAAATTCACACCAATTATACATCTATCATCTTCAGTGAATTAACACCAGCCACTAAACTACTAGTCCATCCAGTATCTTCATGACAATTTTCCCCTAGCATTTTTATGTACATGAGTATAATAAATAGGTACATGTGGCCATATAAATGAATCCCAACATATTCGAATCGATCTACCTGCTTGAGTTGGATAAACGTGCCTCCACCATCTCCTCAGATATTGTTGCTAGATTGGTAAAGCTCTTCCAGTTTATATCATGATACGTGTACGTGTATGTTTTTATGCCAAAATGTTGAGTTTGCGCCACATCGATCATTGTTTTTAGATCTGAATGTCCTCTTGCCCCACCGATAAATTAGAGCTACTTGCAATCATGCGCGCACGATGGACAGTCCCAATCGTACAATAAAAAAACCTAGTATAGTTTTATTCCAGACTACAAAGAAACGTACATTACTATGACACTCGTCCATATTCATCTCCTGTAAAGCTCCCAAGAGTGAGTGACTCACCGGTAGAACTGCATCATGCAGCCAGTGATAGCCATGCCCCCAGGAACCTGGAAGCTCATGCGACCAATCACGTTCTGCAGCTCTCCCGAGTCAGGATGGAACGATGATTCGTACAGCTGCTTCGCACGCCACAGTTGCTCTTCTGTCGTCCCCAGAGGCTCCTGACCCAACCTGCACACAATGTGACAAGGTTGAAGATTGGTGGTGGTGGTGGGGGGGGCAGCTGCATTACGTAGCACCTACCTAGTTTAGCACACCCGATTAGTTTAGCACATTTGCGAAAACACATTTGCGGGATGCCAAAATTAGGATTGCTCAGCAGTCTTCACATGCCCTTCTATAATAAGTATCTAGGATTCCCGAAGTAATTTCCCCCTTTCCTCTCATCTTGTGCTAATTGTTTCTGCAATCTACTAAATTGCACATAGCTCATTGATTCAGCCACAGCTGATCTCCCCATCCTTAGATCAGCTATGCTCACCTGTAACTGTTAACCAGCTTCTTGGCATTTTCTAATTCGGAGGTTGAGCAGAGAACCGTGCGCATGTCTGTGATTGACATGAAGTGCTTCATGCGCCCCATGAATGTATTTTGATCCCATCTTGGTTCATCAATATTCAGCCTAACTGAGCTAGTGTCAGTCATTCTGCTTGCATAGACAGGCACCAGCTGTGTTGAAGGCCTGTGAAACATGGCAATAGAGCACAGAATTAATAAAGGAAACATAACATTCATTTGCCACATGCTTTAGTTGAATAGCAGATAGACAGTGAAAGAACCAGTGCTGCACAGGTCTTCTTGCTAATGGCATTCCACTGAAATGTAATGTAATGCAAATGCATGCATCACGTATGTCTCATATGTAACATACAATTGTATTTCATTTATACATTTACTGTCAGTAGTGTGTTACATCATATTATATATGATATATGATATAGGATTTGGCCCAACCTGAGACTGTCACCGAGTGATAATTAATCTACGCCACCTACTCCACAGACACTTGGAACGTCTCAATAAAAAATAATAATGGTAAATAAACACGAAATGTATTTACTACCAAAGTCTTAATGTTTCTCTACTCTATTTCGCCTATTATTGCCGATAATTACTCGTAAATGCCGGTCAAATGCTCATCTGCAACATACAAGTACACTGCACGCCCGCCCTGTGCGCAAACAACATGAATAAGAGAGCAGGTAGGAAAGCGTGATCGCAAAATTCGCTCGACCCTCGCTTCATTTCACACCTTCACAGCACGAATACACATCCAACAGCTTCCATCTTGGTATCTATGTGTAGCTAAATGTTCACTTGTTCGAATTATAACTCTGTCCTTTGTTCTTACCTACTCCCGCCAGATATATCTCGTAAAATCCTGCAGGAAATGTTCTCTCCGTAAAAATGTAAAGAGGACGTATCATCTGAAAATCCCTAACGGCGCTACTTTTGATCGATCACTGTAGTCGTGTATGTGTGACGTCATGCCCGCGCGCATTGTGCTTGGCTTGGCGGGCCTCGAAACGGAGCTCGGAGGCCGGCAGCAGCTCATCCCGGCATGCAATGCGCCCCATTACTCGTGTATACACAGACACCTCGTCCTCTTTACATTTTCACGGAGAGAACATTTCCTGCAGGATTTCACGAGATATCTCTGGCGGGAGTAGGTAAGAACAAAGGACAGAGTTATAATTCGAACAAGGGAACATTTAGCTACACATAGATACCAAGATGGAAGCTGTTGGATGTGTATTCGTGCTGTGAAGGTGTGAAATGAAGCGAGCGCCAAGCGAATTTTGCGATCACGCTTTCCTACCTGCTCTCTTATTCATGTTGTTTGTGCACAGAGTGGGCTAGATACAATAATGTAACCCAACAAGAGTAGGGTTACAACGCGAGCCTATATTCTTTTCTTTGGAGGAGCCCCTGAGTGATTCACTCAGGGCGGTTTTATGGTGCGTTTTTCAAGACTACACCCTTCCAAACTGGGTTTATTCTAAACACGAACCTTTCTCAGCTATCCTGGGACTTACTAATGCTAGCCGCACACTATCCGATTTTGCACTGTGCACAGCACTAAGCCCCCGCACACTATACGACCCACTCCCGATCGATCGGGAGGCCACCGTACACTGCCCGACTCAAAGTTGACGCAAACCATGGCACTCTCGTGGCGTTCCCAGCGGATTTAGCGTGTACTAAGGGTCGGGAGTGTTTTCCATGGTTCGAATGCCATTCCATTCGAATGCGGTTCCCATGGCGCTGCTCTGTGATTGGTCAATTTTCTTCAGCGCACGCCGATCGGGTCGGATGGCCACGCACACTATCCGAGTCGCGTCGTAAGGCCCCGCACACTATCCGACCCGATCTGCTCCCGATTCAAAATTCGAATCGGGCCAAAATGACCTCCAGAGCCATGCAATCTTAAGCCTCCCGAGCCAAACTAGAACATCTCAATCCAATCGTAAGCCTTCAAATCACGCTCGGGTCGGATAGTGTGCGGCTAGCATTAGAATCACAATACTCTGTATTAAACTAATATAACCTGTTACAAAATTTCGAAGTGATGAGCGGCGATCCGATACCTTCGAGCGCCATTTCTGTTGAACTGTGACGTACAGATTCCCAATGCGCATAGCGTTCGGCTAACTTCGGCTCCAAGATCGAATGTATCATGGGATGATGACGAAGTTAGCCGAACACTATGCGCATTGGGAATCTGTATGTCACAGGTCAACAGAAATGGCTCTTGAAGTATCGCCGCTCGTCACTTCAACATTTTGTAACAGGTTATATTAGTTTAATATTTACAGAGTATTGTGATACATACTACATAGTAAGTCCCACGATAGGGGACAAAAATTCGTGTTTAGAATAAACCCAGTTTGGAAGTTGTAGTCTCGAAAAACGCACCATAAAACCGCCCTGTGTGAATCACTCAGGGGCTCCTCCAAAGAAAATAATAGGCTCACGTTGTAACCCTACTCTTGTCGGGTTACATTATTGTATCCAAGTCCTGTACGGTGTACGTCTAAGGGCGAGCGTGCGGTGTACTTGTGTGTTGCAGATGAGCATTTCACCGACATTTACGGGTAATTATCGGCAATAATATGCGAAATAGAGTAGAGAAACATTTAAGACTTTGGTAGTAAATACATTTCGTGTTTATTTACCTTTTTTTTACTGAGACGTGGGGTACCAAGCGCCTGTGGCTGTGCCGTGGCTGTGACCTACTCGACTTCTGGCTGCTCAGTGCTCTGACAAACTATTAGTATTACTAGTATTACTATTACTATTACTATTAGTATTACAGTAATCAGTATTACTATTAGTATTACTAATACTATTACTATTAGTATTACTATTACTATTACTATTACTATTACAATAGATAGTATTCACTGACGTCACAACATCCGGGGCCCGTAGAAGCGGCCGCCATTTTGGGGGTCACGGCTAATAAACAACACAAGCTTGGTAACGCTGAGAGTCATTCAACAAGTCAACAAATAATTTCAAAATGTCTGAGAAACCAGCAAAACCAAAGAAGACCAAGTATATTGAGACGTTAGACAAGACAGCCAGGATACGTTATGACGCAAAACTGGAACTGATCAGTGGTTTAGATCCATACGAGGTGCCGAAGAAGGATTGGTCGGCTGACCATAGAAACTTACCTGGAATTGCCTACCCCGACATTGTGAACTACCTTGTTTACACACAATCTGCGTACTCCCTGGCCGATCTGAAGGCATACAAGGCACTAGATTCGTATAATCAGTTCGTCTGTGGATGGGTGAAGGATGTCGTACATCTAACATCAAACAACAAAGTGCTGTTAAGTGCCAGGGTAAGTTCGATTTCCGCTACTTAATCAAGCTCAAGGGGTCGTTGTCGTAACAGGTACTACAGATATGTACCCGAGGTTACTACAGACTTCGGTTCAAGGATAGAGAACATGGGTCCCAATAAAACCAATGTCATTTACATCAATATAAATATAATATTATATCAATATAATAGGTTAGGGTTATGGATTAGGGTTAGGGTTAAAGTTAGGCACATTGGTTTTATTGGGATCCATGTTCTCTATCCTTGGGCCCAGACTTCTACTACAGAAGTGTACCCTAACCCTAACTCTAACCCTAACCCTAAACATACCTCATATAAAAATATAAACATAATACTAAACAACCTAAAACTACCTCGGGTACATATCTGTAGTACCTGTTACGACAACGACCC